TTCTATCATATAAGTACTATTAAAAGTGAGTCAAATAATATGTTTTTTGATTAAAAGGTAACTAAAATTCTGAAGCAGCCAAAAATTATCACTTTGAACCACTGGTACATTATTTCCATGGTTACCCAGCAACCTAGCAATTAATCCCACTTTTTCTTATGCAATCTGAGTTACAAGGTCCTACTGATGTATATTTGTCAGTCTTGAATTTCCATGTTCTTCCTTAAAATAGCTGCATTAACCAAAAACTTAGCAACAAATTTAGTGTGGCTACAGTGTTACCATGGCAACCATGAAAGTTATTTTTAGAATAATAACACCAATACCTTATTACTTAAGGTCAAATATTTTTATTGTTTTTCTTGTGTTGTTGATTGAGTTTGATCATCTAACACTTATGATAAGTAAATATTGAGCGTTTTTCAGTATTTTTCCGCATTTTAAATGTATTCCAAATGTACCCATGGTTACCACTGACTTAGAGATATATCCTAAATAGTTTCTTTATAGCATAAGTGGCAACAAGGTGTCATGTTTTTGAGAGAGTGGTTTGATTTTTTTTTTTTGGGGGGGGGGGGGTATTAAGGCTCAAGTAGCTGAAAATCTCAATTTTTCAAACTTTTCCAACTGTTACCATGACAACCAAGACACGCAAACCAAATTTTATTTGATATATATGTTTCTGGTGTCAAGATGTACTAATGGGCAAAATTTCATCAAAATCAGTGACCACATGTGCCAAAAAAGTTTAAATGGTTACAAGGATTAGCTCTTAATTAACACCAACTTTCAGTGGGCCAAGAATGCACAAAGAGGGACAACTTGTATAATGATCAATAATCAGAACTGAGCAAGTTGTATAGTTTATAAACTGTTCTCTCTAGACATTTGCAAATGAATAAGATGCAATCTCAAATTTGAAAAATGCTAAATTTATTTTTTTCACTGCTTTAACAGGTAGATATTTTAATAGTGAAGTTATTTCATAACTTGGTGGTAGCATGAGGTTTAAAACAACATAAAATATACTTAGTCAATTCAAACAGCAAATGTATATATATATATATATATATATATATATATATATATATATATATATATATATATATATATATATATATATATATATATATATATATGTATATTGTCTTAAGGGACAAAAGTTTTTCAATTATGGTATCAACTACGATAAATGCAACAGTTGCTAGATGTTCAGAAGAGAAAAGAAATGTTTGGCTAAATCCCATTTTATCCCACTCTAGCTAGTTTTGTGTGTGTATGTGTGTGTGTGTGGGGGGGGGGGGGGGGGGGTTACCAATGGCTCTTTTACATTTGGTCAGGAGATTCAAAAGATGTAATTCCAGAATTAATGTATAACCAACAAAGTCCTTTCATGCTTAGATTCAAACTGCCATGGCCCATTAGGGACATGATTTTTCTAACATTGATTAAAAACTCTTTCCTCTTTACCATCTTACATATGTACAGTAGTTCTGCTGGAGGCCCAAGAACTATCCATTTTCTATTGTTTAAAAGTTAACCTGACCATTAAATACTATGAAAGTACTTTAATTTGTATTAAATATTATAAAAAAAAATTTGTATAATTCTGTTATTAATTGACCTTTAAGTTACATTATTTACAGTGACTAACTATCATAGGTGAATAGCAAAGGGGAATAACTTCTTTCAGTAGAAATTAAATCAGAAGTCTCTGATGCGACTGTAGCTCTAATGGTTGTACTTATAAAGGAAGATAAAAGTAGCACTTGGACTTGAAACTTTGCAACAGCAATAAATAGAATAATGATCCTTGGTTTAGTCTGTTTTGAGGCAAGATTTATTGCAGTCAGAATAAAACTGTATGAGGAATAGCCTTTTAAAATAATTTTACAGAAATTTCGATTTAAGTAACCATGGCAACATCATTCAACGAAATCAAAAAGCAATAACGACAATTAGGTATCTCAGTGTTGTCTACTTGTATGCCAAGTTATACTGAAATCACACAAAACATGTAGGAAGAGTAGCGTTTTGAAAGTACAATGTATATAAAAAAATTCTATTTTTAGTAACCATGGCAACACCGTTCATCAAAATCCAAAACTGGTAAAAAGAATTATGTATCTTAGTGTAGTCCACATGTGTGTCAGGTTATACTAAAATCAGACCAAAACTGTAGGAGGAGTAGCATTTTGGAAGTATTTCAAGGAAATTTCTATTTTTAGTAAACATGGCAACATCGTTCATCGAAATCAAAAACCGATACACGGAATTATGTATCTTTGTATAGTCTACTTGTGTGCCAAGTTATATTGAAATGAGATCAAAACTGTAGGAGGAGTAGCATTTTGAAAGTATTTCAAGGAAATTTATATTTTTAGTAACCATGGCAACACTGTTCATCGAAATCAAAAAACCGATATACAGAATTATGTATTTTAGTATAGTCTACTTGTGTTCCAAGTAATAATGAAATCGGATAAAAACTGTAGGAGGAGTAGCGTTTTGAAAGTTTTTCACAGAAATTTCTATTTTTAGTAACTATGGCAACACAGTTCATTGAAATCAAAAACCGATACACAGAATTATGTATCTTAGTATAGTCCACTTATGTGCCAAGTTATACTGATATCAGATCAAAACTGTAGGAGGGGTAGCATTTTGAAAGTATTTCACAGAAATTTCTATTTTTAGTAACCATGGCAACACTGTTCATTGAAATCAAAAACCAATAAATAGAATTGTGCATCTTAGTATTTTCTACTTGTGTGCCAAGTCATATTGAAATCAGACCAAAACTGTAGGAGTAGTAGCATTTTGAAAAATTGTTTACAGACGGACAGACAGACAGACAGACAGCTAGACTGACGACGGACACCTTACTATTGCATAAGCTCTTCTGGTCTCTGACCAGTAGAGCTAAAAATTGACCAAAGGGTACAGAGTTTCAAATTCTGGTAAAAACACCCCTGCTTATTACAACTTTATATACTCTATTTTCCTCCTAGATGCCCAGAAGCAGAGAAGAAGATTTTCAAGGAAATAATTCATTTTCACTATAGATATAATATAGTCCCACCCTAATACCAAAGCCCCTAATCCAGGGGCCAATATATTCACAATTTTGGAAGATGCACTCTTGCTCATCATAGCCATGCACTTAGTATGTTTCTTTAATAAAAGAGATTTTCAAAGAATTAGTGCATGTTCACTATATAATCAATAGGGCCCCGCCCTAACACCAGAACCTCTAACCCAGGGGCCAAGATATTCACAATTTTCGAAGACTTGTCCTTGCTCATCAACATTTTTGAAAAGATTTCCTTGTTTATCATAACCATCAAATTAGTTTTTTCTGTTAAATACCCTGGAACAGAGAAGAAGATTTTCAAAAAAATGCATTTCCACTGTATATTAAATAGACCCATCCACCCCCACCCCCACCCCACCCCCACCCCACATGAACCCCTAACCCTGGGGCCAAAAATTTCAGAATTTTGGAAGAGTCACCCTTGATCATCATAACCATGCATCTAGTTTATCTGCTTTATATACAGGGGGAGAGAAGAAGATTTTTAAAGATTGCATTAATATTAGTGCTTTTGGCCCCACCCTCAGTCCCCAGGGGGACAGGGACCATGAAATTCATAATTTTTGTTCCCCATAAGCCATAGATGCTATATGCCGAAATTGGTTGAAATTGGTTGAGCAGTTTCAGAGAAGAATCTAAAAATGTTCAAATGTTAACACACAACAAACAACGACGGACAGAAACAGATAGCAATATGTCACCTGAGTAAAGTCAGGTGACCTAAAATGGATTCTGAAATGAAATAGGAATAAAAAATTAATATTAAAAATAATCCAGAAATATTTTTTTATAATTTATAGAGAGATTAAGTGTCGCTACATGTAGTGGTTTTCAGAAAAGTGTAAGAAAAAATTTTATTGCTAAAACTATGACAAAATTCTTTTCATATAAATTTACTGAAGTTACAATCAGCTGCAGCATAGTTCTCTATCTAAATGTTACTTAACATGTTTAACCAACACCAAAAATTAATTTAATGTATCTTGCAAATATATTTCATTATTTAAAGACCAATTTAAGCCCTTATTTATTTGATTCAATTTTTTCAGTATTTTTTCAGAAAAAATAGGAAGGATACATATAAATTTTGGTGCGGTATTCTTTCTTCATATTACATGTACATATAAGAGAGTCAAGAATTTTGAGTTTATCAAATTTTCAGCAGGGAGTATTTTAAAGTTTGACAGATTTTTCATTCAATTTTTGAATTAATACCTGGATTTTCTTTTGTTAATTTTTTGCATCAAAGAATTAACATGATTAAATCAAAGAATTAAAAGCAATTTTTTTTTCCTTTAATGGTAAATTCTTGGCATAAATAAAATTATTACACTGGAAACACACTATTTTTTTTTTTCAAATGTGAATCTAACTTCTTAACTATGGGGTATGCAATCATCTAATTTGTTCATTTGTGGACTCGAATTTTCTGAGTATCATAAATTAAAATTTTTTAAATGTAAAATTCCAATTATATACAAAAGTTAAAATATAGTTCTTGTATCCAATTCTATTTATTTTGATTTTATAACTAAATACCTACATCAAACAAAGCAAAAACAGTTTGTGAATTAACTTATAACTTTCCTAGACCTTTTTTTTTCTTGGCTTTTGCTCCTTTTATGTGCAGTGATCTCAATTCATTGTGATTTTATATTAAATTATTTATTACACAATTAAATACATTTAATTTCCAGATGAATAAATGATATACCATTTTCCAACAATAAATCTTGATCAATTAAATTCAAATGATTTAATATGATACACCAACATCCATGCATACTTCACAAACAAGTCTACAGGATTAAATTGTCAACCTAGTTGTAACTCGATCTGTCAAGTTAACAGAATTTCAGAAAGTAGCTCCTACCTTAACCCATAAGCAAAGTGTCTTGTAACTTACCAGAATGACTTCCGTTGAGTAGCCCAGCTTCTCGGCTAGCATTCTCCAGTTGTTTCCATTAAGCCCAGTGTCAGGGTCTAGCTTGTTAGCTAGCTGTGTCCAGACCTCATAGCCAACAAAACGAAATGGAATCTCCTTCATTTCTGTCTGCAATCACAAGTTACATTGTCAGAAATTATCCTCACTCCATCCAACATGATGAAAATAAAATAAGTAATTATATCAAAGTCAACATATAATACTCATGAGAAAACATGACATTCCATCGAACTTGATGCAAGTAATGCTGTAATCTTAAATCTTAAAATCAGACCAATATTTTTCAGAATATATCTATTACAAACATTTATATTTATTAATTCACAGTCCTATGAATAAAAAAAAAAATAATAAAAAGTGTTGAACCATTTCTTCAAGAAAATCCCGTCTTCTTGTAAGAGGACGAACCATATTATGCCTAGTATCTAATGAAAGGATGTCTTTATATACGTATTCATTACAAGTAATTTCTTAAAGGTCAATTTGACATCACTTCAAAGATAAACACGGTCTGGTATGGATCCAGAAAACATGGCGATATGAGTCTATAGGATTGTGAATGAACAGACTATGGACTAACCGTGAAATACTTAGTGGGCAAGTATTTTAAAATTCAGGGCAATGTTCTTATAAAACTGTACTATTGATAATCCTTTCTGTCTACAAATTCCATTTCACTTATCAGTCATTACACTAATGATAAAGCAATTAACTTACAAATTCATGTCTTATTTTTATTTTCATAAACTCAGTGGATGAAGTGACAGAAAGAAAATACAATGTAGTATAATGGCGACAAGTGATGCACATGATGAGGTGGGAGTGGGATCCCCCCCCCCCCCCAATTTATTTTTATGACCATATATGTTGCTCTCCTGTTATGCAAGCAACACATCAGTTAAGTCAACTACATTTCTGGTTTAATTCAAAATTTTCTTCATCAAAATAAATTAAATATATCTGTTCACTAACAAGTTAGTCTAGCAATAAATTATTTTCATCTTTGTTTTAATGACTTTTTACCCATCCTCCAACCCCTCAACCCCCCATAAAAAAGCAACAAAAATAAAATTGTTCCAGTAGATAGTAGTTTCATAGTAATTTAAGTTCCTTCAGTACATTCAACTCTACTACATATCTTGTTTTTTTTTATAAACATAGAAATATTGTAGATAATTTCTACTTCATGCAACTGTTTTACAAAAACAATTAATTATATACACAAGTTTCTGGTGATCTAGAAAAGAGTAATGGGAACAGTATTGAAGTCATGGCTAAATTGTTGATCAGGTTTAACACTCGGTACTAGTATTCAAAAGGATACAAAGTGGTAAGGTATTGAAATGGTTTCTTAGTAAGAATGGTTTATAATAGGCACAGTATTGATTTGTTACCTACATAACATTTTTTATTCACCTTTTAATTCTTTTTTTTTTTCTTTTCTTTTTTTGAGAGGGGAGATACAATTCAAAGTGAAATAAAGAGATATTGTCATTTTTTTCCTGCACTGCTTAACCTGAACACTAGGGCTGTCACGAGTACCCGAAATAACCGAGAACCGCGGTCCAAGTTGTTTGGTTCGGTTCCGGTTCCATTTTTCCGGATTTCGGTTCGGGTCTGGTTTACATATTAGAGTCTGTTTAATACAAAAAATGGCGTCGAAATCAAAGGAATGATGACGATAACAGTGATAAATAAACATCACAACTGAAATCTACTTCATTCCATGACAAAACACTTGTCACGGAAGTATTAGATAATTATCAAAACAAGCAGGAATGGTCAGGTTGTGGCTAATAGTAGGCCAAATCACCGATGTCTAGACGTTCGCATGGTTAAGACTAGTTTTCAATGTAAATTTATTGTAACAAATAAAGATTTTTCACGTTAAATTCATGAAATTAAGGTTTAAAATAGATGTAAATACCCGACCCAAAAAACCCGAAACCGAACTGAAAATTTACAGAACCGACCCGACCCGAAAAATTTTGGAACCGTGACAGCCCTACTGAACACCTGCTGGGGCCACTAAGGAGGTCTATTTCCAATGGGTCTGGAACCCCCCCCCCCCCCTGCAATTTGCAGAGTTATTAAAAGTATATACCGAAGCAAATAAAAGATGACTTTGGACCCCCCTAGAAAACATGAACCCCACCATCACCACCACGAAATAGGTGTTTTTCACGTTTGGGAAGCGGAATTTACCTTTTTTTTTGCTTGTCAAGAAATTTCTGCGTTAGAATTTTTTTTTTTTGACTGGGATGGACCCCCCCCCCCCCCCCCCCCCCGGAAAAAATTCCTGGATCTGCACCTGCACTGTTTGCTTGATGGGAAAATGATAGAATAATAAATTTCACAGACAACATCTGATTAACTTGATGGGTTTTGTTTTAATGTGGTGAAAAGAAAATGCAGTTGTTCTTTTTTTTTCAGTCAAAGATTTATGCCTGTTTCTCATATTTTTTTACTTTTTATTGATAAAATTGCATACACCTTGCACTTAGTCCCTGACCCAAAGAAAATAAGTAAATATTCCCTGTCCTGTTGATTGAAATACTTATGTATTAGATTCTGATACAGGTTTTTTTCATAGATTAACTGACACTCCTGTTAAAACGCCTGACACAAAACATGCATTTCTTAAGAGACATGCTAGATTGACTGAGTTGTTGAATTTGTAAACAATTGTTATTAACTCTAAATACCATTTAATTTTTTTGGTCAATTAATTGAACAGAGTGATAAGACATCGCTTCACCGATTGTAGAGTTTTAAACTTCAGCAAACACAACAAATGGAAACGCTCAGAAAAAGACATCAATCAACTGATGTGACTTGCATACAGATTACATGTACATATCTGCATATTGTGTAATATATTGAAGGAAACATCGAGTCTCCATCAATATTCACCGTCACTGAACTTGCTTGACATAAAATGTCAACAAAATAATTATCATTTATGAAAATAAAACAATCAATTACAATATTACACAGTAGTGCAAGGACTCTTCAATCAGAAATCCTCAGAGACCACAATCCATTTCATCTATTTCGCTGCAGCCATTTTTATTTTAGTAAAATTTTTGAAGTATGGTGAACCACTAGGGACTAACAGTAAAACACGCACCCCGATCCCGATCACATTTCTCCTTAACAGTATGTAGTTTTTCATGCCGCACTTTTCACTCAAATTGAGACTTCACCGTATACCGGTGAAGAGCTTCAAATTTAGGCTTATACTCGACACTCAGTGCCATTGAGCAGTGAAGGTTCTTTATCGTGTCAACGCCTACATGCATCACACGGGATCTCGGTTTTAACAGTCTCATCCAAAATTACCCTTGACCTTCACTTCTAATACTGTAATTTTCACTTCTAATACTGTAAATACACATATTAAATTATTTTGTGGATATTGACTTATTCATCTCTTCCAACTCTTGCATAATAGTGATTTGAATATACGACATTGAATTCAATACTGCCGGTAAGAATTATTTTCTTAATTTATTGTCTCCTTGATTTAAATTTTATGTCGTTCCTACAATGAAGATTGTATTTATTTTAATCAGAAAATGCGCATTTTTCACCACGGAGCAGAGATATTAACAGGTTCATTTTTAGAAGACCTGTTGTGACCTTAATTTTTTAAAAGAGTTTTCAAATTGATAGATAATACTTTTAAAAATGTTTTCAGGATAATATCTATTCGAATGTGATAAAAAAAAAAAAAATCGGTAAATAACGAAGATGAGAACTTACGCTTTCAATTCAGATGTCATACACAATTGAAATACCAAAATGATAATCTATGTGTAAAATTCAGTCAAGTTTTTAACAGTTACAATATATATTGTTCCATTTTGCATCTAGTTAAAAATTCCCTTTTATTATGCATATTTACTTCTCAAACGTATCATTTTTACTGTGATTGATCTGACCTGAAACGTCAACTTTAAAAGTAAATATCTCATTTTTTGCAAACAGAATTAAAAATCTGACAAAAACGATCTCTTCCGAAGTACTTCATACATTCCAAAACTTTACATGGATAGTTTTTGTAGATCCATGATTTTTGCCGAAACATCGACATTTTTTGTGTGTGCACGCATATGCGGACTCTATTTTCGGAGTCTTTTTCAGTCTCAATTTTGTACTTCCGTTCACGCCGATTTTGGAGTTCGTGTAGACTGGTAACGTTGATCTCGGGTTGAAAATTGACCCGGGGTTCATTTTTCAACATTGAATATTGAACCGAGGTTACTTTTTCTCAATTTTGAAAATTGAGACTAAAAGTCGTGGAATTTATACCCGGGGTCATTTTTCAACATCTTAATTGGTAATCACAGGCACTTGACGTTTTAAACCTTTCTCTTTATTGATAAAAATATCCCCATACTATAGTTATAGTATGGGGATATTTTTATCAATAAAGAGAAAGGTTTAAAACGTCAAGTGCCTGTGCTGTTGAATATTGACCCCTGACTACAGCGTTTTGCCCTGTGTTCGTTCTTGAAGTTGTTATACATGATTTATGTGTACATGTAACTACTAATATATCTACCAGTTTCATAATTTGGATTTCTTCTAGCATAATAATAAGATCGGACCGAAATCAGGAAACCTATAGCAACCCGAAAATATAGTTGTTGTTCAGTATACCTTTTATCTTATTTCATGGTTGTCTTTGACAAGTTATTAGAACTATACGTCTTGTACTAGAATGGCTACGTAATGGACACCTCCCCCCTTTCGGGTGTCTATTATGATATACAAATGAATTCATTATTATTAACTGCCGCTTAGGATAAAAATGCATGAGTTTATTTTTTTCCAAATTTGGGACAAGATGTGCATGGTAGAATTTTTTTTCCCTACATCGATTAAACAGCTTAATATACGCATACATGTATATACGACAAATAGAACAGAAAAATTGCAAAATTGTACGACAAAATAACCAGTTTACAGTATTAACCTACATATATATATATATATATATATATATATATATATATATATATATATATATATATATATATATATATATATATATATATATACATACATACATGTATATATATATATATATATATATATATATATATATATATATATATATATATATATATATATATATATATATATACCTAAATTTTAATAAATTGATTGTGATATAGATCTGTAAAGAAGCAGAATTCATATCCATGCATAACTGATTTCAAGGACATCTAATTAGCAATCTGCTAGAAGAACACGGATTTAATTCTTTCTTTTTTTCGGAAATGGAACTGATTTACTCTCTAAGGTTGGAATTCCTCAAAATCACGCTTCAGTATTTAAATGGTCTTAACGTTCCAGTCTACGAAAGTGATTCGATTTATCCAGAAAAGTCCTTACAAGCATTTAGATATACATACATGCAGGTTCCAGCAAATGCTCTACCAATCACTATTTTTACTTTTCACAAAAATATTATATGCTGTGAAGGAGAAACTTACATGTAAGACATACTATGCGTCAACATATTCATAAAATTGTGTAAATCGTATAAATTGTGGATTTTAATATATCTGACGAACTTTTACATTTTTAAAACATTTAAAATCACTTTTTTTCAAAGTAAAAATACCGAAACGTATGATTTTACAACACTTTATATAGCCATTCCTTACGATAAATTAAAGATTAGGTGTTAATTCTGATATCATAGAACGCCTTCTTCAAGAAAAATGGAACTTGGGAATTTTCCTGTCTCGTGACTAATCATTACACCATTTAAAAAAAGTCTGCTTCTGCAAACAAGTACTCTGAGGTTGATGTTAAAAAATGCCAGAATTCCTCTTTCAAAAGATCTATTTAGTATTTGGAGACCAAGTCTTCCAACAGTCTGTTGGAATTTCGATGGGACATACATGTACATATGTAATTGTGCTCCTTTATTTGCAGACCTGTATGTTTTTAGCAGACTTTATTCAAATACTTCTACATGAGAACAAGAAAAAGCCTGCTGTGGGCTTTAAGTTTGACATTAAGATATATCGATGACGTCTTATCAATGAACAATACTGATTTCATTCATAGGTTGATACGGTATATCCAAATTGAACTCTTTACTAGAGAAAGACATTGATGGCAAACTATCAACTAGATTTTAATATGAGAAATGTGATAACTCTAACTTTTCTATCGTCAACTTCCCTTATTTATTTAGCAATAAACTATTATCACTTGCACCTCGGGTTTGTGTCTCCCTGGTGATTCGATACACAAGAGCATGTTCTATGTATGAGCAAATAAGTTGATGATACATTGTATAAGGGTTTCAATGATCTCATGTACAGTCAACATTTTGCAAATTCTATGGTCGATACAATGACCTTGTTAACAAAAACAATTTGTCGTTACTTTGGTTGACTGGCGTCTTTCATACAAAATGATGGGCCATTTTTTCATACTGAATTGACTGCGTATTTCCCAAATTCTGAGATCATGACAAAGGGCACGCGGTGGGTGTGGCCTGTCGACAGGGAAAGCTTACTCCTCCATGGCATCTGATCCTACCTCTGATGTTTTAAAAGTTTTCTCTGCTCACAGTTTGTTTTGTTTTATTGGACTCTTCAACATGATTTCTGTTCGTTGTCTTCACTTTTCATGGAAAAGTTGAAGTTATCTCATTTGTCATACAGTTTAGTTAGTAGTTGCTCGTTCTCAATCACGTTAATAATAGTCCAATTAAAGTTTCTCGACGTTACACAATATTTCAGAAATATTAAAGTTATTCAAAATATTTGCCGTGCTACGTATACATACATCATTATCAGTAATATCGAAACAGCAATAATTTAAGGAATAAGCGATTAAAATTTTTAAAAAATACCAAAATTTTCTAGAATCTTTAAGAAATATGATTCTTTGAAATTTCATTACTATTTGTCGTCCGTAAGAGTGAATTATAGCAGAGCCCGATTAATTTTTGAACGGCCCTCGTATGACGTCACACGTCAAACATGAGGTTCACAGAAATCAGGGCTTTATTAAATTCAAATCTAATCAAGAAGTATTATTAACTTTGATACAGAAAAATGAGCTGACTACATACACATGAAGGTTTGAAGGGAAGCATACTTTAAGAGGAGGGGCTTCTTCATGATAAAGTTTGAAACAGACAGTCTCAGAGTTTTCTTCATTAAAATTATAGATTTTGTCCAAGCAATAATTAGGAAAGATCTTATAACAATAATCAAACTCAAAAGTCTTTGAAACAATACAAATCGTTAAAATAGCAAACACAAACCTCGAAAAGCAACAGAAGTGGGATCAGGTACCATGGAGGAGTAAGCATCCCCTGTCGACCGGACACACCACCCGTGGGCTCCTTGTCATGATTGGGCAAACGAAAAAACCGTAGACAATTCAGTGTGTAAATAATGGCCTAACGTTTAGTATGAAAAACGTCGGTCAGCATTCAACTTAATGATAGATTGCATTTACTGAAAAAGGCCATTGTATCGACCAAAGAATTGCAAAATGTTGATTTTATACAAGACTGCTGATATCCTTGTTTTATCAACTTGTTTGTCAATAGCTTGCCGCGTTTTAGAAATTGTTTGTACGTAGAGCACGTTCTTGCGTATCGGAATCATCTGGGGCACATAAACTCAATCTGCAGCTGATAAGGGTATATTGCTACATAAAAAGGGAAGTTGACGATTGAAAAGTTGTAGTAATCACGTTTATCATTAAGCTTTGTTGATAAATTACCATTTGCGTCTTTTCTAGTAAGTTATGCAAATATGAAACAGATGTGTCAGACTCTACGGTATCTTTTATTTCAAGCTCACTGGGATATATTGTGTCGACATATGAATGAAAATAACTATTGTTAATTGACCATACGTCGTCGATATATCTAAATGTCGAGTTGAAGACCACAGCAACAGATTTCTTTTTCTCATGTATAAGATTTTGAATAAATTCTGCTTCATATGAATACAAAAATAGGTCTG